ACAAATGGAAAGCATTTTTCCTTCAAGCACTGCAAATTGCCTTTTGTCCGTATTTCTTCAATGGACATCCCCCAAACATGATACAGCAACATCTTGCTATATCATGACAAGATTTTTGTTGCAAGATAAAGGCAAAAGTACTCCTAGACACATAGTAAAGAAACAATTATATTAAGATCTTCTTTCAGCCAAGAAATTCCAACAGCTCAAGGTAAGCTACCAATTGCTAAGAAATCACTAGACAATCCGCTATTTTTGTGTCAAGAAACTTTAAAAACAATAATAGCTTCTTAGATATGGAAAGTAGTACTCTACCATGGATAATTAATCCATTTTGATAGTCTCATCAAGCCTGACAAACAAATAAAGGAATCTCTGTACCAATACACAATTTTATATCTCATAGATCTCTAGAAAGGATCATACCATTCTTTTCCCCCATCTTTTGTGAATTCTGGAATAATATTTATAAGTTTTGGAAAAATGAAAACTGAAGAACTCAAAAACCAGCATATTATTCCAATAATTTGGAGAACTCCTGCAACCAATTAACCCAGTTCCTGCATCCAGGTAGCTGGAACTTTTAACTGCTCTCATTCCTCACAATGTTTACTTCTGATTGTTGTGCCTGAGACACTTCTATTTGTATTTGCCAGTTAAGATTTTCTTATTCTTCAGTTCTAACAATGAAAATATAGAAAATAAAATATTAAAATGTCATTCTAACAATAATACAATATACACTATTTGCAAATTCAAGTAACAAAAGGCTTCTCAACACAGCCTAGCACCAACACTTCATAGATTTTCAATATATATGCAGAACTGTGCATTAGTGACTATGCAGAGCCTATTAAAAAAAAAAAAGACATGGACGCACTCTATTAAACTTAAAAAGTAAAAGCATCCTTTACCATCTCACTCCTAGGAAACAGCGTGTTTAAAGTGATATTATGTCAGCACAGTCTGTTCAGAATTTACTTCAGGACAGGCAAACAGCATCCCTGAGAGTTAGTATTACAAGTGTTAGTAACAGCAAGCATTTTGTCTTTCTTGTTGCATCAGACTGTAGTTGGTACAGATACAAACTAGAAAGAGGAGTTAAAGAAACAAAGTTAAAACTTAAAAAATATCTAGAAAGAGAAGTTAAAATCTTGTAACTGATATTGAAATTTATTTCATTCAGAAAAGTCCCACTGAGCTGCAGGCTGTGAGTTTACAGGCAGCTGAAATGAGAAACATAGCTCTTAAGAAAGCAAAGAATTCTCCCTGATTAGGATTCCAAATCATTAGATTTTTTTCCTGAATAAGAGAAACTTAAGCCATTGCATTAAAAACTTCAGTAAACAGACAACTGTGTCAAGGTTGCAGAATTTCAGTCTTTCTTCCCTGAGACTGAATCCAACTCCCTGTAAAATGGAATCCACCAATAATGCCTTCTCAGGTCATCAGAATACATGAAGTCCTTCCAAAGACTTTGCTGCCAAAGGTGCAAACTCCTCAGGTGGCTTTTTTGTTTTCCTTCTGCATATATGATAAGTAGAAAGGAACTCTGGGTCTGTCCTTGACAATGGAAGAAAAGGGACTGATGTTTTTAAAGAGGCATCTTTATGCACTGGTTTAACACAATGGCTTTTAGTGGCTTCTGAGAGAAGCTCCTCAAAGCTTCTACAATGCCCAGCAAAGCCCATCCCTTAAGGCTCTGATGACAGACATGTTTTGACCCAATTAGAGAAGTTGGTAACACCTCTGCAATGACTTATTTAAGAAGGCAAAAAACACACTCAAGTCCTTCCTCTTCTTCCGAGAGGTGGGGAGGTGCCAGGGCCATCCCGGTGCTGCAAGCAGCTGCCAAGGCCATGCAGCACGCCATCTCAGGACAGCTTGCAGTGAACTTTGCCTGCTTCGGTGCTTTTAGCCAGCCATGCTCCAGGCAGAAGGGCAGAGGCACCAACAGTGGCTTCTCCTTTTTGGCTCCCCACACAAAGAATGGTGCCAGCACAGCCCATGCGCTGCCAGCAGGGCTCATGTGTCCGACAGCAAGGGGCATAATGAGCAATTCCCTGATGCAGAGCCCACACGAGATCAATCTTTCAGTGCTGCAAAACCCTGTAAGAACTTTTCAACTGATAGAACTTGAGAACAAACAAACCTACTGACAACAATTTTCTTCCAAGTCAGCAAAAAGGAAAGGTGAGGGCACATGAGGAGAACAACATGGCAACACTAAGGTTGGTGAAAGGAGGGAGGAAGAGGAGATGCCCTATATGTCAGAGCTGAGATTCTTCTGCAAGCTGTGGTGAAGACTATAATACAACAAACTGTTTCCTGGTAATTCATGAAGTGCATGGGGGCGATTCAGAGATCCATTCGCAGTCCATGAAGAAAGATGCTCATGCTGGAGCAGGTGCATGCTAAAAAGCTGTAGTCTAAGAGAGAGCAGACCCTTGTTTCCAGATAGAGGAACCTTGCTTCCAAACCCGAGCAGCTTACCCTTAAAAGCCTTACATACACCCCATGAACTAAAATGACCCAAACCATGTAGTTTGGGAAGACTGTTTTGCCTGGGAGAGGGATTCACGTTACAGCAGGCTGGGCAGGACTGCTGCTGCTGAAAATTAGAACCACGCTGGAAAAGTTCACAGAGAACTGTCTCCCATGGGAAGGACCCCACGGCATAACAGAAAACACTCTTCTCCCTAAGCAAATTGAAGAAGGATTTCAAGTGAAAAACTCACCAAAATTCCCACACCTGTAGTGTCAGTGGAAAAGAAGGAGAGGCTGGAGGGAGGAAAGCGTAATCAAGGTTTATTTTAGTTTGTATCAACCTCTTTTAATTCTGTTAAAAACTTTTTCTACTATAAAGAAAAAAAATTCTTTTCTTTATACCTTTTCAAAAATTTGTGCCTGTTTTGCTCTTGGAGTGTTTTCGCCTAATCCTTATCTCAACACATGAGCCCTTCAGTTTTTCTCTCTGCTTCCTCTGTTCAACTGTAGCAGAGGAATATGAGTGAATAGTTTTTCTCGTGGCTGCCTGGTGCTTAGCCAGTGTCAAACCACAACTTTGGCAACTGGGGAGAGCTAGGAAAAAAACTGCACTATTTTATTCAACCTACAGAAAGCCTTTAGGCCTCCAACCAATAAATTTCCAGAAGTTTTAAGCTACTACTTCAAAAACCTTTTTATCCTTAAAATACACACACTATCAGACTCTGGTGCATCCATTTTCTGGTTGCACACCACTTTGGCTGCTGTAATTATTTTGTTGGATTTTTTGTGTTCTTTCTAGTTTGCTGCTCCTCAAGACTAATCATTCAGTAAGAGAGAAGACACATTATTTCTTACAAAAATACATGAGGAGAAGTTCATGGACAACTTCTTGATGTTAACAGAACATGAAATACTGCTACATCCTGCACACAATCCATCAATTTTGAAAGGATTTTGAATTTCCTCTGACTTGTGTTTGAGATTCACACACTAAAACTGTTAAAATAATCCAGAATAACTCAAACCTTAGTTGCTCTAAACTGCAACTTTATAGGTCACTTTCTATTTCTATTGTGTCCAATCTTTCCTTAAAATTCCTAAGTTCATAATTTGAGTTATGTGAAGGTGTTTTTTATAAATCTTAGTATCAATAATTTAGGACAAAAGGCTACTGGGAGTGAGGTTTCACCAATATAAAATCTTCCAGTCATCTGACAGAGCATTACCAGTTTGTGTGAAAGCCATCTTTTCTACTTTTTCCATGCTGAATGAGGAATATTTCTACGTCAACTCCAAAAATCTCTGTTAGTACAGAAATCAACAGTGGTTGAAAAAAATACATATACAACTACTGCCTTTTAGGTAGTGATTAATAAGAAACAGGAGATTTTCATTTAAGAAACAAATGTACTGTACATCTGTTAAATATCACCTTGTGCATTTTTAAAGTCTAAAAATCTCCAAGTAAACAAACCTTTTCCCTATTAAATATTAAGATGCATTGTTTTAACAATAAAGTCAACTTACAGCACTTAAAATTTCAGATAACCAAGTGCATTCACTAGCTATCTACCCAAGAAGCAGAACAGTTCTTCCTTCTCAATTGCTTAATTTGAGGACTCTTCTCTTTCTATAAACTATTTCAGAGCAAAATTTGCCTTCAGTTTTCTAGACTATCGATCTGTCCTCCTGACAGCCACTCTTAAAGCTATCACTTACAAGCCTTGTATGTTTATGCCAACTGAGGCAACACTTGAATGTACTTGGCCAGTACAGTCCTGAGTGCTAGCAAGCTTTAAGATGTCTGCATGAGCTGAACCTGACAGGAGAAGCCCAGTGTGGACAAAACAAAGACTCCTAGTAAATTTGTGCAGAGCAAATCTTGTAGTGAAAGCCTCTTAAGAACATTCAAAAAAGCCCCATAAAAAACATGGGCTTCTGAGCTCAGTGCTCCAGCACACCTGATCACTTCATCATTCTCTTATCTGAGACACACATACTTGGCATTAAAAAAAAAAAAATTAAAAAATTAGGGAAGAGAAAAAGGAGCAAATACAAGACCAAGCTTATGACTGATGGCAAGTCAGTACTGCAGAATGCCCCAATATTACTGTCATGGTGATTGAGCAGTGCTGCCCATTTTCTTTTCCCCTTTGCTGGTTTATGAAGACTCTTCCTGGAAGTATTAAGGTAAAAATCCCTCTGATTCTACTTGATCAGTCTGGCACAAAGAACATCCAAATTGGTCAATGAAGCCTTTCCTGAGTGGCACAAGAACTTCAAGTTCTGTGCTTTAACTGTTACAGTAAAAACTTCAAACACCACACACTGCTAAGCAAAATCACATCTAGCCTGGAAAGCTTAAGACCTCAAATTGTTTAATACCTTGACAAATGCAAATAAAATTTGCTAGCTCTTAATGTTCAAGCTTACTCTGAAAATACTTAAAAGTTTCAGTAATGAAGCCACAGAAAACAGACTATTATTGAATTATCTAAACATGGCATTACCTTCATGGCATGGATTTCTTCTATTAATCTCTCAACCCGTTTCTTGTTCTTTAATTTCAAGTCTTCTGAACCCCTGCAAGTGAAGTCTATCTTTATTTTAAAAAATCTCAGTTTAGTTACTTTATTTCCTCTCTGGCAATACTAAGTAGCAAAAAAAAAAAAAAATCACAAAATGGTGCATAAACATAATCCCTTATTGGCAAATGAACATTTTAACATTTTAGCAAAGAGCTGAACACAGCCTAATGCTTTTGCTATACTGAAAAGAACAGGAAACACTGAGGATTTAGCAGAACAATGTGCAAAACAAATGTTACTGTGTCAGAAAATACAAAACCACAATTCGTATCAAGAATAGGTGACACCAGTGTCTCAAATATATTTATATTTTAAGATCTGTAATATTTAAATATGGAAGTTTATTGGACTTGCTTCTTATTTTGGACAATTTGCTAAAATTGTGGAGTATCCTCAATTTACAGTATGAACACAGTAACAGATGTATCTCACACCGTCAAGACACATGCTAAGTTATTTCAGGCCATTAATCTTTAAAAACATAATCTACATATACTGTTTAAGCAGTTCATGTAAGAAGTAATTAATAGTAATTACTAAAAATCAAGTATGATCTGTGTATCTATGCAAATGAAGTATTTTTTGCTAAACAATCCTGAAGACAACTACAGTGAGAAAACTTAGTGCAACTTAAATTCAAAATCAGACTAGCATAAAATATGAAATCTGATACATTCAGATGTGCTGTAAAAGGTTCTGTAACTGATTCAGACTACCTTCCAATACACTAAATCCCATTAAAAAAAGTCACCCCAATTCTGCTTCATAAAACTCCTTTTACTCAGTATTTTTAGTCTAAAATGATGTTAAAATAAGACAAGTATGTGTTTTAGTGTCTTAAGTTTTAAATGTAGTACATTTTTCTCCAATTTTTCCATTTTTGTGAAAACAATTAAAATACTTCCTTATTTATAACCACAAAACACTATTATTTAAAACTGACCTTTTCGATTTTAATTTCCTAATGTGTCTGGTTAGTCTCCGAATAGTGAGAACTCTGGCCTTCTTCACATCTTTTCTCATCTTCACAACCTGTGAGAAATATCAAAGACATTATAAACTGTTTTCATTGATTATGTTCTATACACAACACATTTATTACACTGACTTAAATTTCAGAAAGTAGTTTGACAAAGAGAAATAATTTGAAAATAGAGTGCATTTCCCTACTAAGAAAATATCATTTAAAATTAATGCAGATTTCCATTAAAATCAAACTGCTTCCATAAACATCAGAGGAAGAATAACAATGTCTAATAATGTGCCTGAGGTCTAAATAGAAGACAAGACAGTCCTAACTTGCCATACTTTAATATTATTCTTAGAGCTAGACTGAGCTAGCAGTTTGCAATGTCTCACCTTTTGCCTTTACTTAGCTTATTTTTGTCCCAGTTAAACATCAGCAGTACATTAAGTCCATTGGTGCATAACACATAAAAGCATTTTCATTATTAAACATCTTCAAGTGTTAAGGAAAGACTCTCAAAAATAAACATTATTTATTATGGAAAAGAATTTGAGATATTAAATTCTTTTTATATATTTGAATTTATTTTTGTTGAAAACTTAAATCCAACTTGTTTCTAACTCACTACAGTCTATCTCAACCTGCCATCCTACTCACTAGGTAGGATGTTCCAAGTCTGTTCCCAAATTTATACCAGGCAGTTTCAAAGAAAATTTGGCAATGCTATTTTGGTCTTAATTCTCACCTCGATAGCAAAGAAAGAATTCTCCTTGTTATTAGACAGATAGGACAAACAAAGAAATCTTTCCAATCCTTTGCAGTTAAATCCCATAATGGAAAACCTTAAGCCCAGGTGCTGTCTAATGATGAATGTTTCAGATACAGGGAGTCAGTAGTGATCCTTTATTTTTACAACTCATCTTGCCTCTTATTTATTCTATGTCTATTAAAATTTTGTATTTAACAGTTAAACTTAGAATAACATGAAATACTAAAACAAACAAAAACACAACCAAAACGAAAAAAAATTAGTCTTCCTGACAAAAGCCTAATTGATCTTAAATTTATCCAGTGGGGTAAGTTACAAATTTAAGTTGGCACCTCTTTCTCAATAAAGTTCTCTACATCAGATTTCTATTCTAATTTCTCAGTGATAACATCAAAATGACAGACTGATGATGACTGCACCACCTAGTCAAGTCAATGAAGAATATTAGTACTATAAACCTACATCAATTTTGAACAAAAAAAAGTAAAAAAAAAGAAAAATCTTCAAAGCCCACAGAGCAGAACTTCACACCTGTGATGAGGAGTCTGGCTAGTACATATACAGAGACCATAAAGATGTGCAGAGACCAGAAAGATGATCCTTAAAAAAAAAAAAAAAAAAAAAAAAAAAAAAAAAAAAAAAAAAAAAAAAAAAAAAAAAAAAAAAAAAAATAAGATAAAAAAAAAAAAAAAAAAAAGCAGAACACCTATTTTGCATAACTGATTATGTTCGTAGCTTAGATTAGTGATTCAATGAAGCTGTTAAATCCTGAATGGTATTTCACTAGTGGCTTAACTGAAAGCTGAATTAGAGCAAAACAACTTCTGGAGAGCAGCATGTACTGATTGTCAGCCTTACCTCTGCCAGACAAGCAAAGTGAAGCAGTGCTCCTCTGAGAAGCAAGGGAGGGGAATTGTATGGGGGGCAGTCACTTGTATGGCATTAGTCACTTTCACCATGAAAAGTAAAAAGGTAAAGGTTTCTGGGATAAAAAAAACTGACCTAGAAATGGCATCCTGTTGCAAAAAATTGTTACAGCAAAGGTCAGTACTTACCTTAGTAAAAGTAACTGTACATACAGATCTACCTACAAAAGCATTTCCACTTCAGTTAACAGCAGAAACCACATGCCAAAAAGCACCAAGTGCCAACTTTCTGTTACACAGCAGCACTGTCCAAGACTTTAATATGCTAAGGAAGAAACCCATTGCATCACCATTTGCCATCAAGGCATTTATTTTTTATAAGACATTGAATGAGATTATCCTAGGTCTCTATAGTACATCTCCTAAAAGGAAGAAAGAAAAAAATTGCAGCTTCTGTCTGAACACCTCTTTGATACTATACATACATACTAGTACATTCAATTGAATGTTTGCAATATCAGAAGCAAACTGGGTATGCCTTCTTAGAAGGTCTGGGATGGGGATATTGTTTTGTGCTTGGGTTTTTTTATTCTCTATTTTTTTAACCACCACTGAAACCATCCACAAGCTAGAAACATACTGAAATTTAAGTAACTTATACTTTACATATTAGTTATTGTGTATGCAAACATGAAGTATATTTAACTTTCTCTCAAAAATATTTTGTTAGGTATTCTTTAATAGAAATATTAATGCACACATAGCATGTTTCCAGGGCCTACAAGAGCCAAACTTCAGCCTCCTCTGCTGCCAGCCAGTGAAGGCTGTATAGACATGACAGCAGGAATGAGGGAAGGTATTCGCTCCTTGGCAGACTAGGAATATCAATTTATGTAATCCAGTAACTTCTTTCACACGGGACAGTATGCATCAACTCTGTTCTTGGAAGTACTCATAGTGTTCTCAAGAAAGCAGTCAGCTCTGGGAAAGAAATCAAAAAAGTTTAGCTTCAAATTTACAGTGTGCCTGAAACAATGGGGCTTAGACCACCAGGGTAGGCCCTGGTCTCTGTATTACAAAGTGAGAGAGGCAACTTTGCCATCAGCAGGAAAGAAAATCAAACTAAGCCAAATCAAACAAAAAAAAACCCACCAAGAATAGTAATGAATTTCAAAAAATAATAACATTTATTAATAATAAAGTATTTTTTACAAATAGTTCAAGAAAAGACAGTAAGAAAAGGAGAAGTCTTTGCACTGAAACATAAAAAGGCTGCAGTCTAGGTCAGGATGAGACTTTATGCTTCAAGACTAGGCAATAAGGATTTTTAATCTACTCAGCAGTGACAGTAAGCACTAGAATATAATTATAAACAAGCAAAACACAAACCAAACAGTTTTTTCTATCAATAGGATCTACGATTTCTGGAAATTAAGGAAGTCTGCAGTTGTATGTGGAAATAAACACTTCAAGGATTTCTTTGAACAAAGAACAAGAGATGTTTTCCTTTGTTGACAACATTTCTTTATTTTGTTGGGAAATGCTACTTATGAGACAATTAAACTATTCCTACTCATCAATGCTACCAAATGTCTGTGTTCGCACATTATTAATCATAGATAATATCAAACTAAGAGTTGATATAGACTACATATCAATTATTAAATACAAAATAATGAACTTATTTTTGAAAATAAGCCTAGGCAGAAACATACAGAATGCACATAAGCATATTTTAAAAGCTATGGTTATGAACAAAACCCATCCATTTGGCTCTGTGCCTTTTCACAAAACAATGTATTTATATTACTACTGATGCTTAACAAAGATGAAGTCCAAAAAATTCCATGACTGGTGGCATTCCACAAAGAGAGCCCAACAGCTTTCCACCTGCAGTAAGCACTGCCACAAGTGTTGACATGTACCAACCAGCTGCACCCAAGCCATTTCAAGCCACAGGCAGATGGTCGCTGCTGCTGCCCTTTCAAGAAAGGGCAAACAAAGAACACAACAGGGGATCAGCAGATGACAGGCCAGACAAGAATTAGAAACTCTCAAGCAATTCACCTTTTCCAAGGAGTGCATATTATGAGGGAGATTGTAACAAGAATTGCTAGCTTCAGTGCAGCCTACATTAATGTGATACTTGGTATAACGATCCCAGTACTCATCTGGCATTAAAAATGGCCCCAGCTTTAATGTATGGGTACCACAGACACAGTGCAAAGACACCAAAGTATACATATCAAACCAAAAGGGTGATTTCTAGAAAATAATAACGAAACAGTGTATGTTTAAGAACATCACAAGAACCGTATTTAACCCAGAATGCACAGCTGAGTAAGGGAGAAACTAATAGCTTCAACTACTTTGCTTTCTATTTCAGGTTATATGGCTCCGAACAGTTTAAAGCCAATCCCATAGATTTGTCTTTCTGTGTAGTAGCTCAATGAGACCTTCCCAGTCCTCAGCATATGCAAGCCCTTCTCGTGCCCAGAAAGAAACTGACACAGGATTTCTTAATTGTACCTTTGATCTCTTAGTCCTCTTTACAGCTTTTCCATGAAGTAGTTCCATTTTGACACTGGTATTTCCCTTGGTAGTTACAAATTAATTTTGACTAACAAAAGTCTTGGAAGAGCTGAATCAGTTCCTAAATCAGTGTTAGACAGTGTTAGGAAAGGGCTTTTGATCAAAGACATTACCCCTTTTAAATAAATGGGACACTGTTATTGTACATAATACAAGACAAAACACATGTAGAATAGAATAGGAAATTATTTTAAGAGCCTTCCACATAATTAAGCTGTTACAAAAAACTTCTTTGAAAATTTTCAAGTTTCTTTAAGATAAATGTAAGGTATTGTTAGATAAAACAACATCAAGAAGTCTAGTTTAGGTTCTGAAAGTCTGTACTACAGAACAGTCCTCATATTAGGGATGACAAGAAAAACACTAAGGAATGTGGATAAAATGACAGCATGGGTACAATTATACATTCTAATTCACATGACTAGTTAAGGTATTTGCCTTCACATTTTTAAGACAACAGCAGCAAAGTTCTCAAACGAGCATTACATTAGAATAAAATGTTGTACTTGGCCACTTCTGAAACTTGTTTTGAGGTCTGTACAAGCAACATGACTCCAAACTAAGCTAGTGTTCAGCCAATTAGAAATAAGGAAAGTGTGACTAAAGATTTGTAGATGTATCAAGAAAGGTACGTGTCTACTCTGAACTACAGTATCAACTGTACTTGACAAGAAAAAAATCCCAGACCCAAACCATTACTAAAAAAAAATCCAGTGGGTTAAGAGACACACTATGTTTCTACCTATGACTTGTTTGAATGTATTTTATTCAGACAACACTGAAATACTAGAATAACTGTGAAGTAAAAGCTTTTTTTTTAATATTACCACTTACAAAA